TTGTTAGACGTAACAAGTAGAAATGAACAATCGCCACAAAAGGAAAAGTTGCTCTAAAATACTCACAGAATAGCTAAACCAAGCGAAAAGTGTTTAGCAAGAAGCAGTGGCAGATTTACCTACCCTAACACCAAGAGGGCCATAGCCCGGGGCGATAGGCTGCGATGGATGGCAAAAGCCATATAAAGTTACGACCTATATTTGGATCTGTTGATTTACTAATTCTGGGTAAAGGGGGGCGCCAATGAATTTGCGCGGAGTGGCAGACTTTAAAATATGCCCCTGGCAAGAAGTAATGACGAAAATCTCAATGTCTTCTCGATAAAATGCTGCAGATCGATAATGGAGATAAGGTACCTACGTCACCACAAAGACACGAGTACTCAATATATGTTCGACAAAACTTCGAACTTTTATTAACAAACCAGACAGCATACATAAACCAAGCGAATAATAATTTTAACAAGAAATATCGACGACATGCTTCCATTTCATCAACGTCAAAATCGCAGACGGACTGCCTGTATCAAGGCAAAGTGCATAAAGAAACTCTTAATAAATCAAACTCGCCACGGAAAGTCTCCATTCTCTTACCTCCAATGAAAAATACAGAAAAAATGAAATAAATTTTATTTAATCAAATGAAAGCATCAAATGCTACCGAATAATTTATTGCAGGCATAACTCGACTCATCGCTGCTCTTAATTTTGGACTTGATTTATTTTGACCTAAAACTGAAGTCATCGAAATAATGATCACGAATAACGGGAACGAAGAATTACAAACTGCCTGAACAGGCAAAAATCTAATATTGAGATTGATCGCAAGTAAAACCGTTGAAACATTCACCACAAAAAGGTAATATTATTATTTCATCATTACAGCCTATTAATGTCCCCACTGCTGGGGCACAGGCGTTCATGGATAGAATAGGGAGATTGTGCCTCGAACTCAACTTTGACTTGCCTTGACGGATTGGTGGGTGCTAAAGAATGCAGATGCAGTCGAGACCAACGGCTTAACGTACCTTCCGAAGCATGGAAGAGCTCGAGATTATAAGTTTTGGACACCCATCCAATGACCGACTATTGCGAAAGTTACTTAACAACCACGATCGAAGGTCGAACGCGCTAACCACCTGCGCCATCGAGTTACTCTGTTTATTGTATTATGGGTATATTATTATAAGGGGTTAATAATTTGATTAACCATGTATAAATCATGAACTACTTACTTAGATAGATAACTATAAGGTTTTAGCAAAATAACTATTACAGAAACAACTATGGTACAACAAACTTATTACTTAAGTAAAATTTATTTTTTATTCCAGGTTCTCAGTCGGGCTGAGATATGCGTATGCGAGGATAGCATGCGGGAAGCTCACAGAGTGAAACTATGGATTGGCAAATACCTAGTCTACAACGAAGCGATAGGCAGGTCATAATAATTTAATCAAATGAAAGACAAAAGATACATGGATACCTTGTATTATGAATTTCGTTCCTATTAATGTTAAATCGTTTTCTCTAATGATGTTAACTATCTGATAGTTTTTCACGGCAGTATTCTGTACAAAATAAATGCATTTTACAATTTCCTGGTTTTTTTTTCACACTATGTTACATAATCCTTAATAGTAAATAGTTCGACTTTGGATTTATTACCTACTAGCGGATGGTCCTGTCCGATAAAAATATAAATTAAATCTAAGATTGTTGTGTGAACCACCACGCGGGCCAAGTGCGGATTAGTTGCTGACGACTGCAAATGCAGCCGGGACCAATGGCTTATAGTCGTAGCACACTATGATGGCCGTTCTGACACATTGCAACAGTGACGAAAAAGCTCAATTACTTGTCATTCCACAAGTTATCAATTTTATGTAGTGACAAAGTACTAAAAGAGGTTGATTGTGCTACTTTTTTGGGCAATGAAATTGATAATAAATGTTCTTGGAAACCCCACATCGATAACTTATATAGTAAGCTAAATAATTTTTCTGCTTTAAAGGCTTAAAATGGGTATGTGGCTTCTAATATTAGGTATGGCATTTTAGTATATGGCAATTCAGTCAAATTACAATGAGTTTTTATAGCTTAAATAAGCTTCTTGGTTAGAGCCATTATTGATGCTAGTCCCTTGTAAAGCTATATTTTTAGAACTTTGTATAGTAACCGCGGCGTGTTTATATATTTTTAAAATTTGCGTATTTGTAAAACTAATATGGATCTTTTTACAACTATAAAGACTGTATGTAATTTCATGACAAGATTTCCAAATAAGTTGGAGTTACCTATTGCGAGAACTAATATTTACAAAAAACAGTACGTATGTTATGTCTGTGAAAATATTTAATAACATACCAGAGGACATAAAAATGTTTCCACTAAGATTATTTAAGTCTCGGTTACGAAAATGGCTACAGGATAAATGCTTTTATTCAGTGCGAGATTTTTTAGAACAAATGCATACTTAATTTGTAATTATCTTAGGTACTTTAAGCGATTTTCAATTTTGTAAACATTGACTATTATAATTCTATAAAAAAATAAATTTGATATGAATATGTAATATATTGTATGAATGATTTTTTTTCTTAATGAATAATATGATGCAGATTTATAAGACATGATTTTAAATTGTTTTGAGGTTATTTGAATTATTTTATATATTTGTATTGCATGCTGTGTAAAAGTAAAATATGTGATACTATATTTATACTGAATGTGTAACATAACATAAAACACAAATTTAACATCTTTTGTACACCATATTTTATGCAAAAAAGACCTCTGACTTCTCACTTACGTTAAAAAAACTGAAGTTAAAATTAATGGCAGCGCCGTAGATTTTTTTTATATCCTTGCCCTAATAAATCGTTGTATCTTATATTGGCCATGTTAAACTTACCTACGCGAGTGCGAGTCTGACCCGACCTATGGCCGGTGTTTTTTTATTTATCACAAATGAAATGCAGGAGCTGTTATAAATTTTATGGAAATGGGTTAGTACTTAGGTATTATGCTTTTCAGTAGGTAGATAAGGGTAAAACTGTACTTCCAGGGCCCAAAAGGTGATACTTTTTTTTTTTTTGTAGAAAAGGTCTTTTTAACAGTTTTTTTTTTCTGGCGCTTCGCCGGCCGCTGCCGCGGCACGCTCGCTTTGCTCGCTCGGCTCGCGCGTTATGGTCACAACACTAACCTAACCTAACCTAGTGTGAAGTATCACCACTTGATAAGAAAAGTAAAAATTTTCAATATTTTTTTCTAAAAAACTACCAGTGCATAAGTGTGACATTTTTTTTAATAATGTGGTTACCAGAAACCTTTTTAACAACAAAAATGAGAAAAACAACCAACAAAACTGTGAAGTTTTTACTTTTGGGCCCGGGAAGTACAGTATATCCTAGATAAGTAATAGTCCTAAATGCTACATATTCCACAAAAGTAGTAAACAAAACTAGAATTCGAAACAGAAATGTTCATATATTAACATAACTACATACTTAACTAGATACTTATGTTGTACTACACATTTAAGGAATTTTATTAGTTGCTTGCTTTTATTAAATCAATAGGGGTTGCTTGTGTACGTAACTTTACTAAATAAGAATTCATAAATTCTTTTTCCCGCCTTTGTCATTGGATGTTGTTTTTTTTTGGTCCATATTGACCTGATCGGACGGGCAAAGGATTCTGAGTCCAAACAGCCTTGTCTGTAAATTTTTCTTCCTTGAAGTATTATATGTAGGGTTTTTATTCGTAGTTTACGGTCATAGTTTTCACTATTTCGGCCATTCATTAGTCGCAGCCATAGATATAAGTCTGTAGTTACAGCACGCTATGATCTATATTGGGTGTGCAGTCATTGAAGCGAAAAATACGGATCCGATTTTTTTTACTGTGAACCGATTTGCAAGAAATTTGTGAATTAGGCTCATCTTACCCTTAACTTCAAAAGTTAAAATGATCTGAACTCCGCCTATTATTTTTAAGGAATGTAAACAACCACTTAATGGAAAAATTGGCATTGAGCCATTTTATCGCTAGAAAACATGTCTAATAGTAAGTGGTGAAATTGTAAAGTATTTTCTAACATAATTACCTCATATTAAAATAATTTTCAACCCCTTGAAAATCTTACAACCCTCGGTTCACAGTAAAAAAAATCGGAGCAATAATGCTTCAATGACTGCACTAAATAAATAAAGATGGCTGCTTACTGGTGGTAAAAAGGTGGTGACGATGCATTGACGGCTAATGAGAGTTCTTTTGCTTTAAGCACCTCCTTATTTTATTATATTGATTTTTGTGTTTAATTTTATATTTACTATTTTGAAAAAAAAAAGCATCAATTGCGATATGTATACGTGTACTCGGTATCAAGGTGCGAGGGGAAGAGGAAGTACTGAGTCGGACTATTATATTGATCGCACATATTCAATGGCAATAGATTTCCGCAAACAAAACAATAAACAGAAATCAGAGATCCGAAATTTGTGCCATATTTTTTAATCCTCTATGTTACAATTGGTTAGAAAGAGAGAAAGAAATTTCTTCACAATATCGAGCATCAGTAAAATTCGCTTTGCCTCTTTCTAACCAATCGTAACATAGTGGAGTAAGAAAGATGGCGCGAATTTTGGAAGTCCGATTAGTGTGCATTAGAGTGTTAGGATTTACGTTCGAATACGCACAAACTGTACGTTTGACGGTATTAGATCGTAGTGTTTTAGTTCGGTTAGATTTCTGAGATCGGATTTTCTTGTTAGTAAATCGATTTGAAATCGATTTGTGTTAGTAATCGGGTTTTGAATTCGGTTTGATTTAATAGATGCATGCTTAGAGTTAGTTCAGTTGTCAATCAACGTCATTCATTCATTTGTAAAATATAACAGTGTTGAAATGGAAGGCTGAGAACTTGTGTTTTGATAGGAATTATGCAATTAAATTGCGATAGTTACATGTGATTTGTTATTGCAACATTTCAATCAACAATGTCTCACGATACAGATCTGTTAATATCAGTGCCACGTTCTTGTATAACAGAATTTTATAATAAATACCTCAATTTGGTAGAAACATTTTACTATGTCACATTAACTGAGAATAAATCGTCTTACGCTAAAGAGAAAACGGATTATGTGTATTTCAATGTTATTTTCAATTTGAATCCAGCTGATGGAACCTTCAACCCTCGTGAGCTGGTTGGGCGGATACAGGTGAGTGATACCAGTAGCTTTTAAACTGCATGGCATTTCCATCCGTTGAAATTTAGTACCTACCAAAAAAAACAAAGGAGTAATTCTTAAAAAAGAAACTAGGCTTCTTTATAACAATAACAGCCATTGTAATTTCCTTTGGTTGGTACATGATATTACATTTTGATGGTACCGGGATTTTAGAATTAAATAGAGTTATTGCCTTATTCATAGATTTTATTTAAATATTACTTGACGTTTATATAATATCTTCTTACACCCATTGTAACCTCTAATCAGTATTTACTTATTATTAACTGCTAAGATTTAATAATCACAGAAACTATATGAGAAATCAATTTTAAAATATCCGTTTCCTTCCCAGTTCTAACATTTCTTTTTTTTATTATATATCTTTGGGGTACCTCACAAATCTTTATTATTTACTCTACATATACTTTCTCTCCATTCCTGGTTTTGAATTTTTGCATTTCACATTAAAATTTGGTATTTATTATTCATAAATAAATGGAAAAATATAATAATAAGTAGCTGGTGCTACTGATGAAAAAAAACATCAGCTATTGCAGGGCTCTGAGAGATGATATAATTACTTACCATTTACATTAAAATAAGAATTATTAAACCTAAAAGTAGTGGGTCCCCATTATAACTTTCTTTCTTTCTGTCACAGTACCAATATGTAAAAAAAAACTTATTTGATTACATTTTAGCATTGACAATCAATGTGTCATATAAAAACCCTATGGTTTTATAAGATTAAAATGTTTTTAAGCAATATGGATAGGGTGAAATAAAATTAAAAAAGGTACTGGGGCGCCAGACCTACCTTAATAGACTCGCTGGAAGGGCATTGAACTATTAATCGCAAGGGGAGTTGAAGCAAATTCCAAACTCACTTTGAGTTGTCTATGTATTGAAATTTCCAACTATTTGCCAATGTTCTTGAATTTAGAAGTTTTTCAATCTTTACCTGAATTTTTCATAATGGAAGAATTTTCTCTTACCAGAATGTGTATGTATGTACTTATTAGTACACATTTACATGCGCTTACTGTCCCTGCTGCATCTTTGTTATGTGTTCAGTTGAATATATGAATTTAAGCCTTGTTCCCATGTTAACAAAGGGTTATTTCATGGTCCAATATAAAATTTTCTAAAGTATAAAAAAATCACCTATGACATTTTATAAGGAAATTAAACAAACAGGCCTACACTCATCTCCACAGCAAACTTATGTTTCCTGCATTAAAAATTATTGATAAATATAGATTATCTTAATATTAAATAAGATTATGATTGTAACATTCCCCAACTCCAAAAATTATGTCATGAAGTGACATTAAAATTTTCTTCCCTTTTGTTCCTTCCAAAAGGCAAGCGAATGAATCAGTCTAGAAGCCTTGTTAAGCCACAGAAAATAAAAAAAAATGCATGGACTAGTAAAAAACGATCAATGATAAAGGAGGAAGCGGGAGTCAACCTCTGTATTTCTCTCCGGAGTATATCTTCAACAAATTAAGAACCATGTGACATTTACGTTAAGACATTACAAATGTATACACATATAAATTAGTGATGTCAACAAGCTAGGATATCACGGACTGCCCCTTCCCATCTACATGGAACCAACAACAGAGCTGGTGCGGCTTGTGAAGCGGCTGAAAATCAAAAGCAAGCAAATACAGGGGTCTAGGCTCCGAATATGATTTTGTCCCATTCGGTGTTGAGACCCTTGGTCCGTGGGGTCCTAGCGCTTTAAGGCTATTTAAGGAAATAGCAAAAAGGTTAGTCGACGTCACAGGAGACCGAAGAGCTGGCAGCTACCTTGGACAAAGAATTAGTCTAGCCATTCAAAGGGGTAACGCTGCCAGTATCTTCCGATCCTTGCCTAAAGGGACTCCTTTTAATGATATATTTTAGTTATTAATTTTATTTTTTAAGGTTTTTAGTTTTATTGTTCTAGTATTTATATTTTACTTATATGTAGTGATTATGTAATTAGATAGAGATTTATTTGTTTATAGTTAGTGTATTTTATAGTTTTATGATGTGAAATTGTTAATATTATTGAGTTATGAAATAATGAAATGTGACTTGGTCGGTGTAGCAAATAAATTAGATATGCAGTACAATCATATTACACTTTGTGTATGTAGGTTACTCTTTATTTCTATTATGATACTCTCATATTATGATCTCTGGTTCGCAAACAGTTCTAAACAGACCCCATCTAACACTTAATGTTAGGGTTGGGTAAGGAATTACTAAGAAAGAGCAATAGAATTAGTTGCTTAACTATAATGTTTATCACATTTTAATAATTGTTTATTTGAATGAACAATTTCATACCACAGTCATTTATTTATTGCCACAAAACAGAAACTTAACTGCTTACTGAAAAATCCATGCAAATATTGTTATAGAACCTAACCTCTAGAAGAAAATTTTAATTATTATGTGTAAAATTTACATGTTTGAAAATTAAACAGATACATATTAAGATTTAAACATTTAGCAGTTACATGCTTAAAAAATAAAAATATAAAATAAGCAATGTTATAATTCTAGTTATATTTCACAAGGTCCAATAATTATTTATCTCTGCCAAAATATGATGATAGTAGATGTTATTTCATAAGAATCCAGCATTTATGTAAAGTATTGAATGCTTACAGATTTTTTTCCCAATTGAACTAATACCAAAGTGCCAATATTATCAGCTCAACACCATTACAGATAAACATTCCACATTGGAATCATAAGCTTATCATTTGTGATAAACTCCGGTGGCCATCCATCATGTCAGTAGTGGCGACGTCGTGCAAAGTTTTTACATCCATTCGTTTGGCAGTCGGATGCGGCGAAACAAGTCGAGATTTTTGTTATAGTGGCAGAGGTCAGCAGTTTGTTTGGGGGCCGTGGTGCCGCCGGGTGCAGTGGGCGCGCAACCCGGATCTCGCTTGCCCCGCTTCCCCTTCACCGAGCGGGCCCGTGCGTGGAGGTGTGCAAGAACCACATGCTTCGACACTACAGTAGTGTTGCCGCGACGCACCGCGCTCGCACGTGCGCGTCATGACATGCGACGCGCTATAACACTAAGCTCGGTATTATGTTCGTGATCGACGACAATCAGGTGAGCGTGACCACCCTTCGTTGACAAGGCATCTCGCTCGACCCTTGCCACTGTTCTCGATTGAAAACTGATCCCCCGCAGGCAGCGCATTATAACGATCTTCATTCATCCGTCGACATAACGATCCCGGAAGTGGAGCCGGTTCGTTAACGTCACGTATGCTAATTATCCTCGCCAGTGTTCGCGTATTACTCGTGAATATGATGGAATTTTCAGATAACTCGTCCTACAAATCCTATGAGGAGAATGATGGTTCTGTTATAAATTGGATTCTCAGTATGAAAGAAGCCTACAATAAATTTAGATGTTAGGTGGTGATATAAGTTGCTGTTTAGATTGTATTGATTACAGTTTTTGTGCCGTCTGCTGTGCCGCATTCGATGTGTTGTCATATCTTCTTTACCGACAAAAAAATGTGTTGTGTTTATGGCAATTTGCTTTCGTCATTGTTGTGTTGTTGTTGGTGCATCGTGAAAGCTGCATTGGCCAGCGGCTTAATGTCTATGTCTTCATCTGCGGGCGAGAATTGTCGCATACCTAGCTCCGCTCTGGTATGACGGCTGACTTTCACTTCGCCTCTGAGACCGCTGGTGATTTATATTAATTCATTAACCAAGACATCACGGATTTGAATTAAGCAATTTTACTGAATTTGGACTTCATAAGTTTCCCTTAATCAAATTAGATTTATAAAGATATTATGGATGCAAATTTTGGGTTTGAATCAAACTAATGGAGATAGTAGCATAGGGTTACGACGACAATAGAAGCTGTTACTATCAATTTTATATTTTTTGAGAAAATCGAGTTCAGTGATACCTATAAAAAAGATAATAAATTGTATTGCCACAGCTTTTGATGACTTTCCATTGTTGCAATACGTTGTAGTCATGTGAAGGTTAGTGTTCGCTCACGGATGTACCGCGAGTAAACAAACAGGCAATTTGAAATACGTCAATGAGCACAGATAGATGGATGCTTATTTCTTTTTCGAATTCAAAATGACCATTCGATAAACTTTGGAGATATTTTTCCTCAAGTAGCACACGCTCCAACCTCTTCTATGATCTTGTTTGGTTAAATTTAAGTATTTGTGATTATTTTTTCCATTGTTGTATTAATGTATGGTGAACTGTTTTCCCTAGCTACTTTCCCTCTGAACAAGCATGACATACACAAACATCCTTTAAAGACTGTAAGAAGCAGATCCGCGTATTGTTCGAATCAATAAGGTCGTCACAGACAACATCTGTGAGGTAAATAAACAACCATATTTCAGATAAAATTGTATCGTTAACTAAATCCTGTTATTAATCAAATTTCCTAATTGGTCATTTCATTAGACTCATTGCTGTCTCCGTCCACTTTTCGGCTGATGAAATCGTTATTAAAGAGTCGGATCATTTTCTTGTTAAAGAAGTTATAACTTGGATGATAAGTAACTGGATTATATAAATGTATACTTTAAAACACATTGATATTATTTAACCCCTTTTCAGTTTTAACTTCATCGACAGCCAATAAACTAACAGATATTTAATAAAATATGTACGTGATTAGAACTTTCGCATAGATAATTATTAATATTACTAGACTCACATAGTAGAAAGTAGAACAATTTGTTTGCGTGTTATTTACATAGGAAATTAAATTTCAGGAGTTTTTTTTCATCTATTCTAATTTCCTGTTATGAGGACTTAAGTGGGAAAACCATAAAGGTTTCTAAAAAAACATGCGCCACAGTCAACTTGAGTTTACGCCTCTAACCCCGCCCCTTAACTTAAGTAACGTAAAGTTATTTTTTTGTCAAATTACGTTGTAAACCTAAGCCCTTTACAAATTAGTTATGTTTCTCTGCACGGCA